CCTTGAGAAAACACCTGTGAGTAAAAAACACAAAGAGCTTGAATTTTTTGCCATATATTAAAGTAAGACCTCTATTGGTATAGCTCCCAAAGGTCCCTCATTTTGAGGGACTGTCCCTCTTTTCAAATGAAATCTCTTTGTCCCTCTTTCCTCCTCATTTTTCCTTCTTTCTGGTCTAGAGGTATAGACCATTATAAACAATGTGTTATTTACCTGCCAAACTGCTAAACCTTTCATCTATCATCTAAATTCCGACATGTGTTGTTAGGAACAGCCAGTAAAAAGGAGCATTAGTGATATAAGGGACTTGTGGGTTTATTCTATACGATCCGTGCAGCTGGGTGTGTGGCAGGGGTGTCCCCTTTGCCTACATACAAATGGGTTCCTTTTTCCTGTTCCAGAAAGTTGGGATGTATGTATTGGTGCAGAGATCCCTTTTGTTCTAGATTGCATATTTACTGGTTATAAAAGCTGGTCTAGCACTCGCTTTCAGCAGATGGGCACTGGAGTATGGCATCACTTATTCAAAACAAAATTCATGTACTTTTTTTTTATGTGCCAGCAAATCTCAATAGGTCAATTGAAATCAATGAAAGCACGTAAAAAAGCATGCCACAGACTCTTTTACGTACATCTATTGTGGTAACAAGTCTTAATTCATTAGGGATGAGCTCAGGAGTGTTCAGATCCTAGTCAAAAACCACCTGAAAGAGCCTGCCAGAAAGCTGTCATCCTACTGGACCAATCGCACATATACACACCCCTTGTATAAGTGCGGCTACAGAGAAGGGAATGCCCCGAATGCAGATTATAGCTTAGTACAGGTAACAGCTTCCTGGTGGGCTGACTTTAACTGGCATCATATGTAGATCGGAGCTTATTTGCCTTTGATCTGCAGATAAATGGAACAAGAGTAAATAAAATAGTAACAATATTATTTTGTATCTATCTCACATCTGAACAGTGTTTATAAACACTGTCTGAAGGTCCCTTTTTGGACAGCAACATCTGTAATAGCTGCTGTATTTTCTAGCAACTCCAGGCTGTCATTTTACCAGCCTGTAATTGATGCAGGGGCATTTCTGAATGCAGAGGGCGTGTGTGCTAGAACATAAGTTAGGCACAATCAAATCAATATTTAAACAGGATAAACAGTATAAGTGAAGGGATGGATGCTGCTCAACTGACCCCCAGTAGTCTAATATTGAGGAATGGCCTCAGCCACTGTTCTGGCCATGCCCTCTGATGCGTTTTGCCCCACCCACCGAGGCTTGGTCACAGAGGTAGTGAGGATGTTAGAAGCCAGGAAATATATATGCATTATTGGCTGTGAAAAAAGATTCAGGTGTGTATATGTGATGACAGAGTGTTTTGAAAACAAAAGACAAGAGAAACTGAATAGTAATGCTGACATACAACATTACTATTCAGTTTCTCTTGTCTTCTTTCTGTTTTCAAATCACTCTATCACCACATATGCACACCTGATTCTTCCTTTTTTCACAGCCAATGATGCATATACATTTCCTGGATTCTCACATCCTCACTACCTCTGTGACCAAGCCCTGTGGGCAAGGCAAAATGTGTCAGGGGGAGTGGCCAGAACGGCGGCTGAGGCCATTCCTCAATATTGGACTCTTGGGGTCAGTTGAGCAGAATCCATCCCTTCACTTGTATTGGCTGACACTGGAATTGCTCAGACTCATGCTCCCCTCTTTTCACTTGCCACTGGGATGACCCCTTTCTTTCCATCCATAGCTTGGAGCAGAGCCCTAAGGCATACTTTTTCACTAGGAAAAACAATATGTAATAAACAATACCTGTAAAGGATAACCTACCTGGCTTTACAGCTAAAAGTCAAAACACTATGACAAAATGTGAGCATTACTAGGATAATAAAAGACCTGATGTTAACAGAAAAAGGTTCTATGACACTGTAGCAAATGGTTGGTGTGGCAAGATTGTGTGTAACAGTGAGAGTAACTTAAATGTTGACCACTTTAACTCTGCTATATAGCAGGATTACTGCTACAGGGCGGACTCCCTGCGCAAAATCACGTATATATATGTGATCCACACTCCCATCGTGATCGCGGGTTGGGGGCGCGCGCACCCGTCAACCCAGCGGTGCAGTAATTCAGTGCTGCACCAATCAATCAGCAAATTCAGACCAGTGATGTTCGGCCTGGATCTGCTGATTGATCACTGCCCTATCAGATATCTTCCTGTACCTGTGTTTACAGAACACAGGCACAGGAAATGATGCAATCTTCTCTCCCTGGGACATATTTCGTTCCAGAGAGAGAAGAAAGCAGATCTATGTGAGTAAAAGCAGAACACTTTTACAGTATAAGCACAGCAAGGTCCCATTTAACCCCCTGATCACCCTCCAGTCAACCTCTCCACTGCCCTGTCACCAGTGTCATTAGTACAGTGTACAGATTTTTTTTACTGATCACTGTATTAGTGTCACAGGCAACTTCAGCTAGCGTTTTAGTCAGTTAGCGTCCCCCCCAGATAGTGTCAGATTGCCCATCACTACATCAGTCATCACATTTTAACCCTTTGATTGCCAGGAACAAGCTCACATACACAATAAACCTCCATTGCTAGTATAGTGTCTGAACGGATCAATATCTTTGATTAGAGCAGAACTATACCAGCGTTCACAATAGTCCAGTGTCACCAAAAATGCAGCGTTAGCAAGATCAGCCCCGGCACCAGCCAGCACCTGTGTTTAGCCCCTACACATAACCCCCCCAACCCCTTCTACCACAGCAAGTGCAGTGTTAGTAGATCGAGTCACTTGATACAATGCACACATAAAACTGCAGGGTTAGCAAGATCAGGCCTGATCTCTGCTAGCACTAGCAGGTAATTTTTTTTGTAGTAATTCAAGTAGTCCCTGACAGCCAGGTGCTCTTTTTCCAATGCATCATGCTAGGTACCTATAAATTTAGTGGCCAAACAGTCCAATGAAAGGTACACTAGTGAAGAGACCTACAGGAGTCTGACCATGTCAGGTGAGAGCAAAGGGGAAGCCTCACTGACAGAATCAGGCTCAGAATACAAACCTGTAGACAGCAGTGGCATCCTGACAGATAGCTCAGATGATGTAGTCCCTGCTAAGGTCAGGCATACCTGACCCCGTTCCCAGGTTGCTGAGGTGGAACAATCGCATGACAATTCTAATATGCAGCAGAGTGCCAGTACTAGTGCCGCTCTACCTTTTGGTGAACTGGCAAGCACCAGCGGCCTAGTACTTCCTGGTCTTTTACATACCAGCACTGCAGTATCACTTGGTGACGTGGCAAGTACCATAAGTGCAGTACATGATGGTACAGTGGCTAGCACAAGCAGTGTTCTGCAGTTACCAAGAATGCGAACACAGGCCCGTAGAGCCCATACAGCAGTGTCCTTCCGGATGTGCTTGCAAATCCTGATTGGCAGCACACAAATTCTGCAGCACGCATACTTCCCCCATTCACTTCCCAACCCAGAATTCAGGTGGAAACTGCAAATTTAACTATTTCCCTTGATTTTATGGAGCCATTTTTCACAGAATATCTGTATGGATTGATGGTGGATCAAAGCAATTTATATGCCCAACAATTTATCGCCGCCAAGCCCAAATTCACACCTTGCCAGACCATTTTCATGGAAACCTATTACGGTTTCTGAATGTAAAGTTTTTTTGGGCATAACCCTCAACATGGGCATTACTAAAAAGAAGAATGAATTGCAGTTGTATTGGTCCACAGACCCAATTTACAATATGCCCATGTTCTCTGCTGCCATGACCAAGCATAGATATGGGATAGTTATGCATTTCAATGACAATATACTCTGTCGTCCTCGAGGTGACTCTCAAATTGACCAGCTCCACAAAGTTCGGCCCCTTGTAAATCACCTTAACCAGAAATTTGCAGTTGTGTATACTTCCCAGCAAAACATCTGCGTTGATGAGTCCCTTATTAATCTTTCTGGCCACTTTGCATTCAAACAATTTCTCCCCACAAGCGTGCCAGATATGGAGTCAAGATATATAAGACCTGTGAGAGAGGGCAACAGGCTATACATTTAATTTTTGGATTTATGAGGGAAACGTTAGTTACATGGAGCCTCCTGGATGCCCAGACTACATAGGGAGCAGTGGCAAGATAGTTTGGGACATGGTGTCACACTTTTGCCACATGCGGTACCACTTATACGTGGACAATTTTTAGACAAGCGTGCCACTATGTAGACATTTGTACAATGTTAGAATTGGCACATGTAGCACAGAATGACCTAATCACTGGGGCTTCACCCAACGGCTTGTAAATACACATCTTAGAAAAAGCCTGCTTGAAAAATGATGAATTGTTTGCAGTGAAGTGGAAGGACAAATGGGATGTTTTTGTCCTGTCTTCCATTCACGCAGACACAACCATCCAAATTTCCACGGCAGCTGGTGTTATTGATAAATAAACATACAGTGCCACGCTTTCCTTAACCACTTGCCTACCAGGCACTTATACCCCCTTATTTACCAGGCCAATTTTCAGCTTTCAGCGCTGCCGCACTTTGATTGACAATTGCGCAGTCATGCAACATTGTACCCATATGAAATTTTGATCGTTTTTTTCTCACAAATAGAGCTTTCTTTTGGTGGTATTTAATCGCCACTGGGCGCTTTACTTTTTGCGCTATAAATAAAAAAATTGCAAAAAATTTAAAAAAAAAAAAAAGTTTCTTTGTTTCTATTATAAAAATTTTCAAACAGGTAATTTTTCTCCTTCACTGATGTGCGTTGATGAGGCAGCACTGATGGGCACTGATAGGCGACACTGATGGGCACTGATAGGCAGCACTAAAGGGCACTGATAGGCAGTACTAATGAGGTGGCATGGATAGGCGGCACTGATAGACAGCACTAATGAGGTGTCACGGATAGGCGGCACTAATATGCAGCACTGATAGGCGGCACTGATAGGTGACACTGATGGTGGGTACTGATAGACGGCACTGACTGGCATCACTGCTGGGCACTGACTGGCGGCACTGACTGGCACAACCGCTGGGCACTGACTGGTGGCACTGACTGGCAGCACTGCTGGGCTGCACTGGTGGGTGGCACTGGTGGGCAGCACTGGTGGGTGGGCACAGGTGGGTGGCACTGGTGGGCACAGGTGGGTGGCACTGGTGGGCACAGGTGGGTGGGCACAGGTGGGTGGCACTGCTGGGCACAGGTAGGTGGCACTTCTGGGCACAGGTGTGTGACACTGCAGAGTGGCACAGGTGGGTGCACTGCTGGGTACAGGTGGGTGCACTGCTGGGCACAGGAGGGTGATCTGCTGGGCACAGGTGGGCGGAGCTAGTGGGCGCACTGCTGGGCACAGGTGGGCGGAACTTGCGGGTGGCACTGCTGGGCACCGATCATCAGGGCACTGATCATCAGTGCCCTGATGATCGGTGCCGATCCTCGCTCTCACAACTGCCGGTTCTCGGCAGTACTTTCCTCACGATCTGACAGCGTGAGAAAAGTGCAGCCGAGAACCGGCACTTGCATTTCCCTCTGATCAGCGTGTCATTGGACACCGCTGATCACGTGGTAAAAGGCCGCTGTGATTGGCCTTTTACCACATCACGTGATCAGCTGTGTCCGTAGGACACAGCGATCACGGCGATCGCCGGGTGCGCGCCCCCTGGGGCGCGCAGGAGAGCGCGTTCTGGGAGGACGTCATATGACGTCCACTCAGAACTGGCCAGCCGCAGTGCAGCCGTCATTCGGCTATCTGCGGTCGGCAACTAGTTAAATCCAAATGTAAATACACAAAAATATGTACAGTTGTGTTCAAAATAATAGCAGTGTGTTGAAAAAAGTGAATAAAGCTCAAAATCCTTCTAATAGCTTTTATTTCCATACACACAAATGCATTGGGAACACTACACATTCTATTCCAAATCAAAACATGAAGAAAAATATATCAATTTTGTGTTGTTCCTCTAAAAAAATTGAAGAAAAATGAATACTAGACTGTTCAAAAAAAATAGCAGCGTTTGTATTCTTCTTTACAAACTCAAACATTCACTATATAAACTGAAAAATGTTTGAAGATTTTGCTTTCCTTTGAATCACTTAATTTTTAGTTGCATAACCACTGTTTCTGAGAACTGCTGTACATCTGTGTTGCATGGAGTCAACCAACTTCTGGCACCTGTGAACAGGTATTCCAGCCCAGGATGATTGGACTACATTCCACAGTTTATTTATTTATTTCAGGTACTTACATAGCGCCATCAATTTTGTACGCACATCAGTCGCTTAACTACACTAAGGTTAACATACATACATACTCATACTAGGGCCAATTTAGACAGGATCCAATTCACCTACCAGCATGTATTTGGAGTGTTGGAGGAAACCGGAGTACCCGGAGGAAACCCACGCAGGCACAGGGAAAACATGCAAACTCCAGGCAGGTGGTGCCGTGGCTGGGATTCAAACCAACAACATTAGTACTGCCAGGCGGAAGTGCTAACCATTTAGCCACTGTGCTGCCCCACAGTTCTTCTCTATTTCTTGGTTTTGGCTCAGAAACTGCATTTTTGATGTCACCCCACAAGTTTTCTATTGGATTAAGATCCAGGGATTGGGCTGGCCACTCCATAACGTCAATCTTGTTGGTCTGGAACCAAGATGTTGCACGTTTACTGGTGTGTTTGGGGTCGTTGTCTTGTTGGAACACCCATTTCAAGGGCATTTCCTCTTCAGCATAAGGCAGCATGACCTCTTCAAGTATTCTGATGTATTCAAACTGATCCATGATCCCTGGTATGCGATAAATAGGCCCAACACCATAGTATGAGAAACATCCTCATATCATGATGGTTGCGTAACCATGCTTCACTGTCTTCACAGTGTACTGTGGCTTGAATTCAGTGTTTGGGGGTCGTCTGACAAACTGTCTCCGGCCACTAGAACCAAAAAGAACAATCTTACTTTCATCAGTCCACAAAATGTTGCGCCATTTTTTCTCTTTAGGCCAGTCAATGTGCTCTTTGGCAAATTGTAACCTCTTCAGCACGTCTTTTTTTCAACAGTGGGACTTTGCGGGGACTTCTTGCAGATAGCTTGGCTTCACATAGGCGTCTTCTAATTGTAACAGTACTCACAGGTAACTTTAGAACTTCTTTGATCTTCCTGGAGCTGATTGTTGGCCTTTTTGTCCTTGCCATTTTGGCTATTCTTCAATCCATTCCAATGGTAGTTTTTCGCTTTCTTCCACGTCTTTCAGGTTTTGGTTGCCAAATTAAAGCATCTGCGATAATTTTAGCTGAGCAGCCTATCATTTTCTGCACTTCATTATATGTTTCCCCCTCTCCAATCAACTTTTTAATCAAGGTACGCTGTTCTTCTGAACAATGTCTGGAACGACCCATTTTCCTCAGAATTTCAGAGAGAAATACACTGTAACCAGCATGTACAACATTTGTTGCCTTCCTTCCTTAAATAAGGGCAATAATTGCCACTTGTTTTTCAAAGAATGAATGACCTCACTAATAGAACTCCACACTGCTATTATTTTGAACATGCCCCTTTCAATTAGTGATTCAATTACACAGAATCAGCAGCATGCATGTCATGATTGTTGGGTCTGTTGGATTTTTATTACTCTACTACACCTGCTAGTAAATTATTTGCCAGGTAGAAATATCATTTCTACCAAAAACAGTGATTGATCAGGTTAGTGATGTCTGACTGCTATTATTTTGAACACAACTGTATATAATACGAACAGTTTCTATAATGCAAAACCTCTTGATATAATGCTTCTTGTTATTTCTGCCCCACAACAATGCATGTCCCCAATTACTTTGTGTCTTCCACCTCCAAAACCACCAGATGTGCCCTCACCTGGAGTTTTTGACCTCACAAAATGTAAGGTCAAAATACGCATGTGTCCCTTGACATGGACATAAGATAGATCTTGTATATGGAGTCTTCCTTCAGTGGTGAAAGATCCCTTTTAATGTCTCCTCCATTCAGCATGCATATGTCGGAAAGAATAAGTAAAACACAATAGTGCTTTATCCTTTTACAACACTAATTTATTAAAATACATTAAAATTGGCCTCTCACATTGTATAGGTGCTCTATCACACCTGATATCATGCACATGTAATTCAAAATATCGCATCGTATACTCATACAGCTAGCCTCCACTTCCTTGATTCGTCATAACAGTGTATCGGCTGACCGCGAGCGTCGTGACGTCACCACAACGTCAGTAATGTGAGTGGCCAATTTTAATTTATTTTAATAAATTAGTGCTGGAAAAGGATAAAGCGCTATTGTGTTTTACTTACTCTTTCTGACATATGCATGCTGAGTGGAGTAGGAGGCATTAAAGGGATCGTTAACCACTAAAGGAAGACTCCATATATAAGATATAACTGTTATTTTATGTCCATGTCAAGGAACACAAGCGTTTTTTGACCTAACATTTTGTGAGGTCCAAAACTCCAGGTGAGGGCACATCTGGTGGTTTTGGTGGTGGATTAATACTAAGAAGTAAGACATAAAGTAACTGAAGACACGCATTGTTATGGGGCAGAAATAAGAAGCATTATATTAAGAGACTTTGCATCATAGAGACTGTTCACAGGATATATATTTTTGTGTATTCACATATGGTTTGAGGGATTTGGATTTAAGGAAAGCACGGCACTGTATGTTTATTTATTTACAGTTTTGCACATTTATATGAGTATGTGTAGGTGTGAGCTGCTTTCTATTTTGTAGGTATTTTAGTTATATTCATTGGTTTAGTTGATAAATTGTGGTATTGTTTTCTAGCTGCTCGTGGGAATCACTTGGTATCAGCTAGTGTTGTTGAGAAGCCCCTCTGTGTCCATGACTATAATCTTAACATGGGAGGGGTGGACTTCAGCGACAAGATGATGAAGCTGTACTTAGTCTCCCAAAAAGCCAGGCGCTGTTACAAAAAAGTGTCTGTTTATTTATTTCAATTGGCTCTTTATAACGCTTTTGTGCTTTACAAAACAATTGGACAAGTGGATCCTTCCTAAAATTCCAGGAAGAGATCATCACGGGCTTTTTTGTATTCAGAAGTTGCTGAGGCCCAAACCCTCAACACAGATGCAGCATATCAGCTGCATGAGAGGCATTTTCCCGATGCCATTCCTGGTACCCCAACCCAAACATCACCCCAAAAAAGATGTTGCGTCTGTAGCAAACACAGAATTAGGCATGACACAAGCATTTTTTGTCTCTCCTGTCTTGACCAACCTAGTCTCTGCCTCAAGGACTGCTTCCATCGCTACCATACACTAGTGGACTATTAGTATAGGGTACAGCACGGCAGTCTAGAGCACATATATGCACAGGGTGTTGAAAGATGTTAGGTAGTCAGAATACTGGCTATCTCATTTTGAGAGACCCCACTGGAAGTTAAAAAAAAAAAAGTTAAAATAAAAATATAAAAAAAGTAAAAAAAAGCATAAAAAATAAAAAGTAAAAAAACAAAAATAGTTGTCATTTTATTGTTGTCGAGTTAATGTTTTATTGTTAACCATTGTTGTTTTTGTTGCAGGAATGCCATTCAGCTGCAGCACTGATCTAAAATGGTAGCCTGTAAAGGCTTTTAAAGCGTCACCTGTGGATATTAAAAATGTAAGCAGTTTGTAGCCATTGCACGGGGCATGTGCAGTTTTAAAGTCATGTTTGGTATCTATTTACTCAATATAACATCATCTTTTATATATTACCAAACAATTGGTCAATATATTGTGTTTTTGTGCATTAAAAGTAAAAAAAGTGTATTGTTTTAACAAAATTTGCGTTTGAAAAATCACTGCGTGAGTACTTTGTGACATAAAAAATTGCAGCACCCACCATTTTATTCACTAGGATGTCCGCTTTAAAAAATTTATCTATAATGTTTGGGGGTTTAAAGTAATTTCCTAGCAAAAAATACAGATTTTTTCCATGTGAGCAAAAAGTATCAGAAAAGGCTTGGTCTTCAGATGGTTAGAAGAGCGAGTGATGCGCGGCATAAACTTCTAATGCTGGGCATAAAATGCTCACCCCCTCAAAACTACCCTTTTTTTGGAAATTAGACACCCCAAACTATTTACCAAGAGTCATGTTAAGTCAATAGAAGAATGTATTTTTTTACCACAAGTTTTTGGAAAACGATACACAAAATTGTCACTTGAATTATATATTGCTCACACATGCCATGGGTATTTATGGAATTACTCCCCAAAATGCATTCTGCTACTTCTCCTGAGTATGGGGGTACCACATGTGAGAGACTTTTTTGCCAGTCTATCCGCATACAGGAC